GTGTCCAAAGTAAGCAAGTCAGAGTCTTGCCATCTTCACTTCTAAGGGGCATTCTGGTTGTATTTCTTCTAAGACAAATTTGTTCATTTTTCTGGCAGTCCGTGGTCTAGTCAATGTTCTTCACCAATACCTCTGTTCAAATGTTCTTTGGTCTTCCTGTTTCATTGTCCAGCTTTCGCATGCATGTGAGGAGATTGGAATGACCATGGCTTGGGTCAGGCGCACCTTAGTTGTCAAAGTGATGTCTTTTCTTTAGAACGCTTTGAAGTAGCTACTCAGTACATTGTAACCGCATCTGGGGGTAAAATAGTTTCAACATGTGTCTGCCTTCTCTGACTGAGAACTGTTCTTCTATTTCTAGACCAAAATTCACGGGATTGGGTTTGTCAAAATCCATGCCCCCTGGAACGTCCTCTGCAGAGAAGCTGAATTTTTGAAACTCAAGATGCCTACAAAGAAGGTTGGTGGGGATTTTTCTACCTGTAAATAGATAGCCAATTCTGAACGATATTACCAAGAGGCCCCCAGTTGTTTCGGCCTCAGGACACGCAAATCTCTATGTCCCGATATAGAGGATACAACCCAGCCCCAGGATGATATTTCGAGACCCCAGAACCCACCCCACCAGGATATGAAGCGAGCAGAAGAGCCTGCCTCTCGGTGCCTCAATTTATTATAAATACAAATACAATTAAACTCTAGACTCTGGTTTTATACACTCGTGGTGTCTCAGCTAATCTATCAGATTTATTCTAATTACATTTTCTGGATTGTTGGAATTTTTCTTCCCCCCCCCTCCCGAGGATTTTAATAGACTTTATTTTTTAGAGCAGTTTGAGGTTTATGGAACAGTAGTCCTGAGAGTTCCCATATGTCCCCTCTCCCCCTGCACACTCCTCCTGTTATTCACATCATGCGTTTCTGTGATACTTTTGTGACGATGGATGAACCAGTGCTGATGTGTTGTTATTAACTAAAGTCTGCAGTTCACATGAGGGCTCGCTCTTTGTTATACGGTCCTGTGGGATTTGACAGACGCGTGATGCCATGTGTCCACCGCGCCGGTATCATGCAGAATAGCTTTGCTGCCCTGAAAATGCCCTGTGCTTTGGACTTTACTTTTTAATCTCGGAAAACTTTATGGAGAGAGAGTGGTTATACGGTGTGTTTCCTGACCCTTATTTCGAGTCTGTGCTTCCTTCTGTGTGTGGAGAGGTCACAGGCGGGGTGGAGCCACTCTGTATAAGTCAATCCACCACCTCTCACATCCACTGAGATCATTTGGATTACATCTTTTTGAACAAAAGTGAAGTTTGGGAGAGAGCGTTCTGGAACTTTCTATAATTGCTCCTTTGGCTCAGCTCTCCTGAGCTTCTGAGCTGTCAGGGTTTGTCAGGGAGCCTGAGCATGGAGGGCGTGTCTGGACCACCTCAGCTTTGCCCCCAGGTCGGGCTCCCCCAGGGGGAGGGGCCATTCTGTGAAGGGTCTGAGGATAGCCTGAGTCAGCGCTGTGATGTGGCCCCCCACCTCCCGTCTCGTCTGCAGATGTACCACATCAATGAGACCCGCGGCCTCCTGAAAAAGATCAACTCGGTGCTCCAGAAAATCACGGACCCCATCCAGCCCCGGGTGGCCGAGCACAGGCCCCAGGCCACCAAGAGACTGTCCTACCCCTTCTCCCGGGAGAAGCAGCACCTGTAAGTGGGGCCCTGGGACCCTTTGTC